AGAAAAGCAGTACCGGAACCTGTCGGGCAACGAGGCCAAGGAGCTCTACCTCGAGTGCCTGCAGTTCATCCTGCGCAAGCAGATCATCTGGCTAGTGCAGCACAAGGACCTCTCACGCGAGCTGGAGTCGGTGTGCCGCGACCTGTGGGACTGGCGCATCCGCAAGTTTGTCGGCCTGAACCCCGCCGTCCAGGACGACGATGAGGCGGGCAAGGCGAGTGCCAAGAGCTCGCAGAACCAGTCCGGGAGCGACAGCGAGATGACCCTGTTTAGTTCGCAGGCCGAGACGGGCGCTTCCACCGAGGACGAGAAGGTGCAAGGGCGCGAGAGGAAAGGGGGTCAGAGCGGGAGCGGGATCCGGTCGTGGGAGTCGGAGACCTGGGCGCTGCCGGGAGCCGTGGACACGCTTGCGATTGTGTACCTGGGGTGCTTATTGATACAGGAGCCCGTGAGAATCGGGGATATTTATCGGTGGGCGCGGGACGGCCGGCTTCCGTTTCTCGGGGCGGTAAGTCTGCTTTTGCCAATGAGGTGACGGTTGGCTTATACGGATCACTAACTGACTGATTCTGGTTTCTCTGGCTAGATTGAGCTGGTGCCCAAGGATCTCACGAGTCGGTTGCCCGGCTGGGCAAACAGGTCCTTGCTTACCCGGTACGCAAAGTTTGAAGGCAGCGAGCTGCACAGAGCTGTGATGGCCCTGATGCTGGGATACAAAAAGAACTATGCCATGGCATTTCCGACCTTGCCGGTCCAGCCGTTGCTTCTCTGCTACCTGAAGGACCTGGCCCTGCCACGTATGTCTCTTTATCTTCCACAATGGACACACTTGAAACCCCGACTGACGGAGACCGTGTAGCCGAAGTACATCCCTACGCACAAGAGATCTGCAAGCTCCTCAGCCTAGAGTTCTCGTTCCCAACGAGGAGGCTCCTCAAGGGAACTCCGCCTCCAGGCCCAGGCCATATCACACGACACATGCTCCTCGACATCCCCGACATCCTCCTGGTGGCATCCACAGTGCTGGCGACAAAGTACCTGTACCCCATGGACGGCGTGGAACGGTTCCCCCGCAATGCCAGAGATCCCCTGACCCTGAAGATGGACTGGGCCGCGTGGGAAGCCGAGTTTGCCGACAAGCAGCACGAGAAGAAGCCAATGAACAGGCTGGATTTCGAGAACATGGACCCGGACAAGGTCTACGACATGAGCGAGGAGGAGATGAATGAGTATTTGAACTGGTTTCAGGAAGCGCGAGTGGAGAGAAGGCAAAAAGGTTAGAACTGCCAAAACGTCACACGTTGTGATCTGCGGACCGGATGCTGACATCGACTGTGTAGACCGCGATGAAACAGAAATCGAGCGCCTCTTTCCGCTCCAGCCTGTCCCCCCGCCCGCGGAAACCTCAGGGCGAGAGACTCCGGAGGAAGAGGTAGAGGCGCGCATGCTGCGAGTGCAAAAGGCCATGAGCTGCGTGCAGCCTCGCCCTGAAGTTCCCGGCGAGGATGAGGACGAGGTCAAGAGGCTGGGCTACTCGCTTTTGCGGTATAAAACCGTTGAGCAGCTCTCGGGCCCTGCGAAGCGATTCCACGAGAAGGCGGCCGAGATAGCCGGGCTCTCGTTGGGAGATCTTGTGAGTGCGGTGTACAGCCTTGAGCATCTGCTTTCCGAGTGGGAAAGGAGGGAAAATAGGAGGCTCAGGGACCTGCATGACGGTGGATATGTGTGATCCATGGAGGAAGGTTCGACATGAATTGTGCAGAGCAGCCCGTTATGAAGGGAGGATCACGGCTGGTTATTTTACATGCTACAGAGGGCAGGAGATGAGAAACCCAAAAACCCTCCTTCCCCCACTTTACATAAATACGCACGTCGCAGTGCACGAGGAGGGGTGTTGCATTTGCCTCAAAGTTACGATAGTCACGCCGGTGGAACCAAAGCCGGTTGTTTTTTGTATTTTTATCCCGTCAGAGTTCTTTTGGTTTTGGTTTGTTGCCCCTCGTCTAATCGCTCGCCTTGTACTTTGCGCGGTACGCCTCCGTGGCCTGGACGTCGGCGTCCGAGATGAGCCCCCTGGTGCCGGCGATGATGTCGTCGAGGGTGAGGATGGAGATGATGGGGATGCCGTACTCTTTGCGCAGCTCGCCAATGGCGCTGGGGCCGGGCTTGGCGTCGTCGCCGTCGGCGGCGGGCAGCTTCTCCATGCGGTCGAGGGCGATGACGATGCCGGCCACGACGCCGCCCTCGGCCTGGATCTTGGCGATGGCCTCGCGCTTGGCGGTGCCGGCGCTGACCACGTCGTCGACGATCAGCACGCGCTTGCCCCGCAGCGGCGCGCCCACGATGTTGCCGCCCTCGCCGTGGTCCTTGGCCTCCTTGCGGTCGAACGAGTAGCAGATCTTGCCGTACCGCGCCGGGTCCAGCTGCGCGAGCTTGTCCACCGTTGACACAGCCAGCGGGATGCCCTTGTACGCCGGGCCGAACACGAGGTCGAAGTCGAGCTCGCCGCTGTCGTGCGCCGCCATGATGGTCTTGGCGTACGCGGTCGAGAGCGACTGAAGCAGGTCGCCGCGGTAGAAGTCGCCCGTGTTGAAGAAGTAGGGCGAGATGCGCTTCGACTTGAGCTCGAAGCTGCCGAACTTGAGGACCCCGCCTTCGATCGAGGCCCTGAGGAAGTCGGCCTTGTAGGGCGGGAGGGCTTGGGAGGAAGCCATTGCGGGTTTCGGTCGGGCCTGTGTGATCTGTGAGGCTGGCTTGTCGGCGCTGCAGGTGCGGAAATGTTGCGGGTAGATTTAGTGAAGTGGTGTACTGTGTAGACGGTTGTCGGCTGCCGATTGTTGACTTCAAATTGTCAATCAAGGTGGGGGAGCTTGAAAAAGCCAGCCCATCCCTCGTGCACTTTTTGCCTCACGCAAGGCCGGCTGGCTGGCTTTGCAGATAGAATCATTGACAACATAAAATAAAATAAAAATGCTCCAGCTGAGACTCGAAACCACTCGGATTTTCTACGATTTTTCTAGGTACGTTGAAAAGGTATGTATGCATCGTCTCGATCCATTACCTACAATCCGAACTTGAAGCTACGCGGGGTTGAAGTTTGCGATCGAATGAGGGGCAAGCAAGAGCGCAGAAAGTCAACCCTTCTCCCGAGGAAAGCAAGGGGGTTGTACAATGCACGTGACTGTGATGGGTGGATCCGGTGCGCGAGGACCCGCAGGGCAGCGGGGTGGGGGCGTGTACCTATACACAGTAGTCGCATACGCAACAGCTGTCCCAAGCTCCCGTCGTCAGCGTCTATGCGGCCCTGTCCGTCCACCTAGACGTTTCGAGATCGATCGCCGACCCGACCTAGACAACCCAGGCAATTCTCAACATCAAACGCAACACAACAGACCCACCCACGACGCCGACGCGACTACTACACACCATTACCAGCAAGATCAACAGTCTCAGTTCTCTCGCCATCCAGGTCTCTCAACGGGGCGGGGGAAAGAATGTCGGGCTCTGGCTATGATGCCGTCGTCGACATAGACGACGAGGTGTGTCTCACTCCCTCTTTCCCTCTCTCCAAGCTCCCACCGCCCATCTTTACTGACCCTTCATGCAACCGCGCAGGGCGACCTCGGCAACACAGACCTCCAAGACGACCTCGAATTCCACAACTCCAACTTCTCCGAGACCGCGCCGGCCCTCCACAAGGGCGGCGTCAGGTCCGCCGCGGGCAACGGCTCGTCAGGCCTGCCGCTGCCCGCCACGGCGTCGACCTCGGGCAAACGCTTCCTCTGGACGCTGTCCTTCTACGCGCAGTTCTTCGACGTCGACACTTCGTCCGTGCTGGCGCGGTGCTGGGCCGCCCTGTACCCGCGCGCCAACTTCCTCGACGTGCTCGAGGGCAACCCGGACCTGTACGGGCCCTTCTGGATCGCCACCACGGTCGTCATGATCCTGTTCCTCGGCGGCACCATCAGCGAATACGTTGCGACCGTCGACAAGACTACGTTTGCCTATGATTTCAAGCTATTGAGTGGTAGGTCTTTTTCTTGTCTTTTCTTTTTATCTTCTGCTGCACCCTTGCTTGTTCCCCAAGATGATCTTTCTCCATTCTCACAAACAAAAACAGGCGCGACTGGTCTCATCTACGGCTACACCTTCGTCATTCCCGTCGCGCTCTACCTGGCGCTGCGCTACTTTGGCTCCGAGAGCGCCAACCTGCTCGAGTGCTGGGCGCTGTATGGCTACGCGAACCTGATCTGGATCCCGGTCGCGCTGATCAGCTGGTCGCCCGTCGCCATCCTCAACTGGGTGTTTGTCGCCGTCGGCTTCGGCCTGTCCGTCTTCTTCCTGCTGCGCAACCTATACCCCGTGCTCAGCGCCACAGACCGCCAGACGAGCAAGGTGCTGCTGGTGCTGGTGCTGGCGCTGCATTTCGGCCTGTCCATCGCCATAAAGGTCCTGTTCTTTGCGCACGGGAGCCCGCTCCATCACGACGACGCAACCCCCCCGCCTGCAGCAGACCCGCCCGCTGGAGACCAGCCGCAGATGATGATGTTTTAAAGGAGCGGAAGAAGAAGACGATGCAGAGGATAATGAGCATGGCTCGACGCAGGTCGATTCGTGGGGTGGACGGGCATCCCAGGCGTTATAGCGGCACTAATGCGGAGTGTGTTGGTTCGGATCGGATATTCTGTAACAACAGTTATTTATGGCATGTATTATGTTGTGTTTCTCTTTACTGCTCGTGTGCCGCCTATGACCCATGAGCAACCATTGTTATTTCCCATGCGTGCAGCAAGACTGGAAGACCCGTCACCAAAAAAGCCCCCGGATGGCTACTTACCTGATGTAATTACCTGATGGTGTCTTTGAGTTCACTGCTCCATCCGGCCCACAGGCAAAAACGAACAATATCAACAAACACACAAAGCATCCATCCCCACGCCCCTCTTCGCTTGTACAAAACCCACAACGGCACCCACCCACTCCACACACGACAACAACAAGGGATATTGGCTCAGTCGGTTAGAGCGTTGGTCTCATATTCTGCTATGATCTGATTTAAAGTCAGAGCCATCCAAAGGTCCTGAGTTCGATTCTCAGATGTCCCAGTTGTCTCCCAGAAGAAGAACTCATCCTTCTTCTGTTATATTTTTGTCATTTCCACTTCTTCTTCCCCCGTTTGGGTTTTAGTTGTTCTTTATTTACTCTTCAACACCTCCCTCCTCTTATCTACACAGACAGACAGCTATAATCCAAGTACAGCACAGATGTCCGTCACCACAATCCACCTACCGCTCCACCTTGCCCCCCTTTGCAGCCCAGTCGAGCCAGCTGCCGGGGTACTCGCCCACGTTTGTCCAGCCGGCGTCCTTTGCCAGGCCGGCGGCCGCGCGGCTGCGCACGCCGGACCGGCAGTAGAATACCACCTCGGCGTCGGGCGCGGGGCGCGGGTACCCGAAGCGGTCCTCGAACTCGTCGGCGCTGATGTGGAAGCTGTCGGGCGAGGTCGTGATGGGGATGTTGATGGCGCCCGGGATGCGCCCCGTGTCTTGGAGCTCGCCTGGTTCGCGCGTGTCTAGACGGTGCCGCGAGCGGGTGTTAGCAGGTGGGTTTGACCGGATGGGTTGGACGGGGGAGGGAGGGAGGGAGGGAGGGAGGGAGGGAGGGGGAGGCGGATGCGTACCGACTAGAATTATGGCGGACTTTGGCTTTTGCTGGGCGGTGGTTAATTGTTTTACCTAACGGATTGATTTAGTCAGTGATGATTACACGGTTTGATGGCTGTCGTTGGCGCCACTTTCCACTTCCCAGGCTTCCTTGCTTGACCATGTAGGTTTTCCTTGCTTTGTTCCTTTCCTGCACGCGCACTTCCAACTTGCGTCATATTCCAGACGTCTAGACCTACCTGTTCAAAGTCCCAGGTCTTGCTCTCGCCGGCGCCGGCGGCTGCAGACTGGGAATACGCGCGCGCCGGTGTTGCTGGTGTCGCGGTCTTCCGCCCCCAGCGGCTCACGGCCCTGCTTGGGGGCAATAGACACCGCACCGCAGCCGCCGGTCCCCTCGTCGCTGTCGTTGTAGTGGAAATTTGTCGCGCAGCAGCAGCGGCGGCGGTAAAGGAGGAGGACCGCAAGCATTGTCTAAGCGAGGGCGAGGCTGCTGCTGCTGCTGCTGCCGCCTGCTTGAAGCACACGATTGATCGTCGCGAAGCCATACTGTGTGATTGTGTCGTGCAGTATAGTTTTGTCGAAACGACAAGAAGCAGTTTGATTTCGATATATTGCTCAGCAGTGGTTTGAGGAGATGATGGTTCTTGGGAGTCTTTGCGACAAAAATGATGGAAGAGTGCCGCGGCTGCGGCGCATCTTGGCCAAGCAAGCACGCAAGGTTTTAGCTCCGTCATTCGGCGCAGGGCCCCCACTCGCGTCATTCAGGGAGCTGGGGGCGGCGGGGTCCCTGCGATGGTTGCTCCCTGTGCATACCAGGTACCTAATATTCAGCAGAAGTCGCGTACATGAACTATGTATAATCGCATGGATGCCTCCAGAGTGTCATGGAAGTGGTCCTAAGTGCGAATCCCGAGATCCTCTCCGAAGCGATGAACGAGAGTTAAACTTTGCAAACCGAAGCCTTCCAGCCCGTCATTCACGGTCTCGAGCACATATAAAATAACCACATCCACACACACACACGCTACTCTCACACACCTACACCCACAGTCCTCAAGGTACCGTACACTCAGGTTATTACCTAGACCTTCCTAAACTCCCACACACTCCCCCCGTCCTCCCTCGCAACAAGCCTAACCCCCTCTCCCTCGCCCTCAACGCCAATCTTCAGCAGCGCATCCCAGTGCGTAGTCAAGAGCACATACCCCCCACCGCCCACGTGCCTCCTGGCGCAAAAGTACTCCCACCCGTCATGGCGCCATGCAGACGCCCTGATGTTCTTGCGCCCGTCGTGGCCCAGGTACGCGCCCGAGGCCGCGTTGCGGAAGCCCAGCCAGCCCTTCTTCTCGACGCAGGCCCAGTGGAAGCTGCCGCCGGTGCGGGCGGCGGCCGTCAGGCTCTCGAGGCGCAGCCGGCCGTGGAGCAGGGTCAGCGCGCGGCCGTCGGGCTGGTGGACCAGGATGAAGGTGTCGCCGGGGACGGGCACGGCGTCGTAGACGGTCGTCGGGTCCTCCCATGTGTGAGGGTTGTCGTCGTCGGCCTTGTGGGTTGTGGGTGGGGTTAGGACGGACGCATTGTCGACGTCGGTGTCGGCGTCGTCGTCGTCGTCGTCGTCGTCGTCGCGCTCGAATAGGATGTGGTTGAATGCCATTTGCATCGAGCACACTGGTATTCAGGTAACGTAGTTAGCAGCGGAGACAGTTTGAGTACTGTATCGGCCGGTGCTTTGATGTACAGTATGCGGGGCGATGATGCACAAGGTTCCAGGTCGCCCGCATGCACTTTCTCTCGTCTGGCCAGCTTCAGCCATGGGATTTGGGCTTTGAAAGTCATCAACCTATCGCCTGGGCTGCCTGGCCGCATGCTTGCAGCAACAAAGCCGCCAACAGCAGACCTCCCTCCCGCACGCTTCAGCCAACGATATCAAACCTGCCTGACCATTAGCTCACCCTTACCTTGCTTCCTTCCACGTCACTAGACAACAACTTCCGCCAACAGGCTTTGACTAGCATCCAACCTATCGTCAAGGCCAGAGCTACCCAATTTCAACCTCCTCTGTCGGACGAGTGTGCAAACTTCCGAGTTGGCTGAATAAATATTTATTTTCTTCCCTGTCTACACCTCCTCAGCGACTCGCGAATCTCCATCCCGAGTGCTATTTCTGGCCGTCGTGTCCTGATTCAAAAGCTATACACAAACTAAATATTACAATTGTCTAATGGTGGCATGGCGTACGTGATTAACATCTCCTTAGGCTCGTACCCCCTTGGGCACATTCGACCGTATCTGCGTCATTAAATCTCGCGACTTTCCCAGGGCTTCTTGCATGAGCCTCGGTAGTCACCATCCCCTCTTGCGTGTCACGTCTGCGTCTTCTGAACCAGAGATTGGTTCTGTAAACGATCCACGTCTAATCACTGCTTCCTCTCGGTGAAGGTCAAGGGACAGTCGTCCTGGTCTTGTTAGCGCCTTGCTCTGGAAGGCTAATATATGATTGAACTCACCATGGGGAAAATTGTCGCAAACACCTTGATCTTCTCAGAGTCAGGGGTAGCGTGGTGCACCCAGTCCATGAGGATCGAAGCCTTGCCAATGAACAGAGCGAGGTTCAGCTGAGCATATTGCTGTCCGAGACAGTAGTGGGGGCCGGTTCCAAACACGAGGTAGTTCTTGGCGCCCTTCACCTCCGCATCGCCGCTGTAATATCTTTCGGGGTCGAACATGTCGGGGTTCTCGTATACCTCGGGGTCGCGCAGCGCCATGTATGTCGTCGGGATAACCATTGAGCCTGTTACTTCTGTTAGCCGGGTCGCAGGTTGCCGGTTTGCGATTTGCGAGGCCATTACTTACCCTTCGGAGCGGTATATGTGTCTGTGATAGGAAACGCCTTCTTGACGACGTAGGGAACCATGAGAACCGGGGGGCGATATCGCAGCAGCTCCCTAACAACGGCACGCGTGTATGTCAAGGATTCGAGCTGCTCCATGTCCAAATCCATATGTACGTTGCCGTTTCGGACCTTCAGGTTCTCCTCCCGCACACGATCGAGAACGTCGGGGCGCTGCGCCATGATCTGGAAGAGCCAGGTAGCGGCACTGCTTGTAGCGTCCTGGGAAGCGAACAAGAAGGTGAAGACAGTCTGGGCGATTTCGTAGTTGGTGAACTCTCTCAGAAGCGGGTTCGGCTTCTCCATGCCCTCTGTGGTACCGTTTGCCTCCGCCTCACGCCACTTCTGGGACTCGACCATGTTCAGGACCCAGGCGTCCATGATGCACGTCATCTCACCCCCAGCAGCCATGCGGACCTTGCTCTTAGCCGCGCACTTGGCGAATTCGGCCATGACCATGTCCGCGGCCTTCTTGCCCCGCCATGTCTTGGTGAAGGGCAGGATGATGGGGAAGTTGACCAGCTCGAGAGCGGCCGTGATGAGGTAATAGTCGTCGGCAATCTTCTTGACCGCCTCGTCCGAGATATAGTGACCAACGAAGGTGCGGCACGATACAGCCGTAATGACCTCGCGGAACTCCGGCATGAAGGGGACGGGCTTGCCTCCTGCCTGCTTGGTAATGTCGAGGAACTTATCAAAGTACCGTCTGTACACCTCCTCCTGTCCGGGAAGATAGACCTCGAGGGCCTTGCGGGTGAACAAGCCGTTCAGGCCCTTGCGGAAGTCGACGTGTGCCTTTCCATCCAGGAAAACCCAGTTGTCGGCTCCAAGCAGCTTGTGGGCGGCATCGACGACGCAGGGCTTGACAAACGAGGGCGAGTTGAAGACCTTTCGCGACATGTCACGCGTAGAAGCGATGACAACGAACCTATTACGTGTCAGAGCCCAATGGCTAAGGTCATGGAGAGAGGGAGAGCCTCCCTGCGAACACCAGTTTCGACTCACTTGTGAAAGACAGACACGCAGCTGAGTTCGCCGCTCTTCCATTTCGCATGGTACTCTTCGAATTTGGGGTTCACCGACTGCAGAAAAGGCCCAATGAAGGGCATCTTCCATGTCGGGCCCACGATCGAGCCCTTCTGTAAGACGTAGTTGACTAGGACGTAGTTGTCAGCGCTGCTGTGGCTGCTGCTGCTGCTGCCGCCGCCGCCGACTGGGACGCGAGGAAAGTGCCAAGCGTACTTTGATCATATGCGACTGCAAGGGCGAGCAGGGTGAAGACGATTGTCCACCCGCTCGCGTGGGATAATACGTCGACGATGTAATCGATCTGAACGGGGACGTTGATGGCGGCGCCATAAGTGACGCTCGCCAATTGCGACGTGAAACTGGTCGCGTTGGCAGCCATCTTGACTTTGCTTGTGCGTGTAAGGATCGCGGGCGCAAGTCAGGCTGTCGGAAGCTCCGAGATGAATGGGCCGTCACCAAGGCGGTGGTATGTGGTGGAGGACGCGGAAAGCTACAGCCAAGCGAACGTCGGATGGTCGCACAACAA